TGTGTGTCCCTTCTCACCTGTGGGGAATGAGGACAACTCAGGCAGCTCACAACGGTCCTGCCTGTCAATCCCAGCTCTGCCCCCCAGAAGGTGCAATGAGGTTGCAGGACACAGCCACGTGAGAAACTTCTGTGAGAAGTTCATGTTGGGTGGGACCCAGTGCTTCAAAGTCTTACCCTTTGCCAGCATCCCTTGCTCTTAGAACTAGGTGTTTTCGTGACCCAAGGAAGCTGCTCTCACACTTGAAGGCACTGGAAGACATCAAGCTGGGTGTGGTGGCACATGCCCATGTCCCAGCTCCCAAGAGGCTGAGGTGAGAATTCAGTAGCTCAAAGCCAGCCTGGGCTACGTGATGAGACTTTGTCTCCAAAAAGAAAAAAATAAAATAAAAGCTCTCTCCTGAGACTTAATGGACATTTTTCAGGGAAGAGACCTCAGGAATGGCAGGTTTCTTTTGCCCATTATCTTTCCATATCTTATAACAAGGACACATACACACAGAGAGAGGGAGAGGGAAAGAGAGGAAGAGTGTGTGTTTTCAACAGATACATGCAAAAACCACTGTTTCAAAGGTGAGATACATTTGAGAAATACCAAATAAAAGCCAAAGTTCGGGTTTTCTAATTTGGACCTTTTGGAGACTAGTAAACTAGCAAGTTTGGAAAGTGTCTAGAAGGGGACTTCGGTCACCCAGCAGTCCAAGGCCAAGCTGCTGCGGTCACCCAGCACTCTGAGGCCAGGCTGTTGCAGAGTTTTACACCTTTAAAAGTGCCCCCATGCTGAGCTGAAGCAAGACACAGACCAGAAGGGGAAGGACATGAGTCTGAGGTCAGCGGCATTTGGCGAAACTGGAGATGCAGTTGCAACTCAGAATGGGTGGAATTTTTGAGAGGTAATGTCTTTGAAGCCCCTTTGAGGGAAATGTTGGTGGAATGTGCTGTCTCTAGAAGGTTCTGATTCACTATGTTGTGGTGACATCAAGGATGGAATAGACGAGGATGTTTAAACAAACAAACAGTAATGCCTTGGAAGGAAGTGACTTGTGTGGGTTTGTCATGAAGTCCCAGTAGATGTCTGAGGCAGATCCATATCTATGGGACAGGATCAAGCAGCCGGTGTAGAAGGGCCAGGAAGAAGAGAATCCGGGAGAGCTACACAGGTGAGCAGGGAGTGTAGAGTCAGGAATGTCCTGAGGACAGGTGACAGCCAGGGCCGACCCTACTCTGTGATGCCATCAAATGAACACTAACTAATTATCTGGCAGCTAGGTCCATTCTCATCCCGGGTAAAATGGAGACAGACAGAGGGACTCAGAGAAGCAACGGCTTCCACCGCTCGGAGCTTCAATTTAGCTTTCCTTTGGACGTGCCGCCGCCATGATGCGCACCCAACAAGTGCAATTTAACTCAGGAAACTCAGCTTCCAATAATTCCCCGCTAGGTTTCCGTCTGTGAAAGAGTAAATAACGCTAGCGCTACAAACGCTGGGAGCAAAATCTCCAATAACAGCGCTATGCTTATGAGAACTTCCCCAATTTTCTTCTGTCTCCACCGCTTCTCTCCCGACTTGGGTCTGTATCAGATTTTTTTCCCCCTTTATTGAACATCTGCCTTGGGAGCCACTGTCACAAAAAGTAATAAACACATCAATCCAAAAGAAAAAGAGGATTGCGCAGTCCAAACTACTTAACCAATCAAATTGGCAGCCAGGGGGATGAGATGGAGGGGTGAGAGCCGAGAGAGACCCGTTTCCTGGAGAATTTTCTAATAATGGTACCTCCCCATCGAGGAAGAGCGCCCACGCTGCACTCAGTTCCCAATAAGTTAATTACAGCTTCTATCACTAATTACAGATTTCAACCTTTGTTGTGATTCTCAGCCCTGGGATTAATTTGTAAATCTTTCACTCAGCCAAACCCTGACAGTTCCTGTTTCCTCTCTGCGTCCTCCAAAATAGAAGAAACAGGGGGAATAAAACCTGTCTTGGATCAAAAATCATTTTTTTTCCTTAAAAAATGAGCCCAGACAATAATAATGCCTTCCCAATTTATTACTAATGGAGTCTGCAAGCATGTATCAAAGACAGAGATCATTTTGTTCACTGTCCCTGATGGTCCCCACCCCCAAAGAACAACAACTAAAAATTATGCCTGAAAGGAAAAACAAAGCAATTTATGTTTCCCAGTGATCTTCCCAGAAACAGCCCAGGATTGCTTGTATAGCGAGCACACAAAATCAAATCTTTCCCTGCTGCTAAAAAAAAAAAAAATCCTATTACAAATTACATTTAACTCAGGTGTGTATAGTTTGCCAGTTTTTATCCAATTGTAAATTAGACCAGGGTTGCCTGTTGGGAGGGAAAAGTAGCTTTTGAAACATGTCTTATTGACTGGGTGTAAATTACCTGCAGCAGATTTGTGAAGCAAATTCGAAGCAAGCATGCCTCCCGGCAACACTGTATTGATTGGGCATTGATATTCAGCTGATTTTAAGGTGAAAAATAAATATTGTTTTAGCAGCAAATTAATTAACAAAATCATTGCACACACGGTAAGAATATTGTGTTGTTTAATACAGGGATTTAAGCTTTGAAAAAAAAACAATTATCTGAGAAATGTTCGGTTTCGCATGTAGATTAATTACCTTTATTACTAGGAGTCTCTGTGAGAATTCACAGAAAGCAGTATGATGTCTGTGGGCACCTGTTCAGTTTTCTTCAGGCTCTGGAAATGAGGGCTTCACTCCTAACTGAAGGAAGCAACTGCTCAGCACTGGCCAGGATTAAGCTGTGCTGTTTTTATCAGAGTCCTTGAGGGACAGTTGGAAGCCGAGTCGGGGCGGGGGGAGGGGGGGAACCTATCTGCCCAACCAATTGTGGCTTCATGCCATCCACCATGTGACCTTGCCCAAGATGGTTTCACTGTTCCCATTCACTTTCTTAACAGATCAGCTCACTTTGAAACCATGGTGTGGTGGTAAATGTTTAGAAATCAGCTCTAGAAAGAGTACTGTATTGAAGTAGGTACCAACTGCCGTGGTGTAAATACTCCTTAAATAAATAAATAAATAAATTTAAGGAAAAAAAAAAAGCCGGGCGGTGGTGGTGCATGATTTTAATCCCAGCACTCGGGAGGCAGAGACAGGATCTCTGTGAGTTCAAAGCCAGCCTGGTCTACAAAGTGAATTCCAGGACTGTTATACAGAGAAACCCTGTCTCAGAACAAATAAATAAATAAATAAATATAAAGTAAACACTCCTACCATATCTTATCTCAAGCTCCCAGCTTGACTTTCCAGATTGCACTGTTAAAAGAGATGACTGAGCCACCTCAGCTCAGCTCCACCTGACCTTGACCCTTTCACAGTTTCAGAATCCCACAAGTCTAGGAATTAAAATGTAAATGCACATAGACAGGAAGAGACCCATACCTGTCTTTCTGTGAACTCAGAAGTCATTTCAGAACCTTCAAGGATAGTAGGGATGTTTATTTTGTTTAAAAAATTTTTTAAGAATTGTTTATTTTCTGTGTAGGAGTGTTTTGACTGTGTGTGTACTACGCTCATTGAATCCCCTGGAACTGGAATTATGAACAGTTCTGAGCTGTCACATGGGTGCTGGGAATCAAACCCTGGCCTTTGCAGAAACAGGTGCTCTTAAGTACTGAGCCACCTCTCCAGCCTGGTTAACGGGGTTTTAATGGTGGATATCATTTTTATTTTCTCATTAATAATAGGACCAGAATGTCCAGCTGTTTCTTAGTTTGATGTTTCTTTGAGGCGGGGGCTGGCAAGGCAGCAGATAGCCATGAGGAGAAGATGTCTGTACCGGGTTCCAGAAAGGCTCTCATGAACTGACAGAAAAGGAAGCCTTCAGCCTTGCTGTAAAAGCAGTGTGTGCATTGAAAAAAAAAAAAAAAAAAAAAAAAGGAAAATTCAGGAAATCAAAGTGGGTGAAAATGTTCGCCTCTCAATAATCACCTCCTCCCAGATGAGGATATCACTCTGCTACTGTCTGTCTCCCCTGTCTTACACACACTTTCACACACATATATGTACATAGGGCTGTTATGTTGAGCGTGTGCATCCATGTGTTTGTGTAGATTTTTGTGGGGTTAAACTCAAGGCGTTTGGCATGTTAGGCAAGCACTCTACCACTGAGATATACATATACATATACATAGCCCTCTATTATTTTTATAGGAAAAATAGATCAGGCAATGTTTTGTGATTCTTAAACAATAAAAATAATACCATGCCATCTAATACACCTGCATTAATCTTGAGGACTGCATAACCATGCATTAATTGATCTATGCTTTATTTGGGGACCTCTAGATTGTTTGGGGTAAATGGAAGATAACTGCACCATATACTCACTTTTATCTATAGCCAGTTATTGCTGGTAAATCATTATAAGAACCATAGTTGCAGATTCTGCTAATATACTTAGCTTAAAAAAAGAAGAAGAAACAAAACAAAGAAACCTCATCATCAAAGCCTGTTGTTAGTGTCTATGTGCTGATTGAACAACACTACATGATTTTTTTTTTCCTGTAAGGCAATAAAAACCCGTGCAGATTTGGGTGTTGTCTTGTAGGACAAACACCACTGCTCCTCACAGTATGATCTGTGGGTCCAGGGGACCCAATCATGTTCCCTCACCCAGGAAGTAAGGGGAGGGACTCACAGGATCCCCTAAAAGTGACCCTGTTCAGATGGAGCTAAAAGATGTGCAGATGGGGCCTCAGGCATGTAAGGAGCCCTTGTAGGTCAGAGGCCAGGAGATTTGGAGGCCACAGAAAACATTCTCACCATATGGACTTTTCTCCAAGAAGCGGCAGCTGGAGGCAGTGTCTGATTTGCTTTTTTCAATACCGTCCAAGGGGCCATTGACTCCAGAAGCTGAAGTGAGCAGCGTGAGAAAGAAGCAGCCGAGGTAAGGGGAGAGTGAGTGGAGAGAAAACGCCACCGATTGATTAAAAACTCATACGAACAGCAGGGTGGGGACTGCAGAAAATCAATTTAATGAGGGAAAGAGACAAATTCAAGACATTTTCCATTATACACATGGGAAGCTTTGATAGATACTGATTTACAGTATCAGAGAAAAACAATCCAAGGCACATCTGAAAAACTCAAAGGTTGCCACTAACGGAACAAGAGTGGGAAATGTACTAATTATTTTTAATGAAAGCAAGGCAGTCAACATAAGTCATACAACAAAAGGGAATGAGGAGAATCAAATAAGCCTAAAGTACAAACAAACAGAAAAACCAAACATTACCGGCACCATCTATAAACAGATCAAACCCCTAAATCGAAAGCCTTGCAGATAGGTGGACACTATTCTCAGACTGGGCCAAAAGATAGTCCAGGAGTGTCGGTACTGACTTATGACCCCAGCATCTGGAAGGCTGAGATAGGAGGGCCGTGAGTTCAGGCCAGCCTGGGCTACATAGCTAGATGCTGTGTCAGAAAATGAAAACAAATTATTGCCATTTAAATAGCCCCACCACATAAGTATTCCAAGTGTTAAATACTGAGTTATGTAAGGTTGATTCATACATGGTGCGTTCTATTCCCTCTCCAGGAGGAATATATTCTTTAAAACTCGCCACAGAATATTTACATAAAGTATTTTCTTTTAGTCCCAAGGCTGGCCTTAACAACTTTGAAAAGTATCAAACAGCCTCCAGAGAACAGCTTTAAAGTTGACACTAGAGTCCAATTATCTCCCCCAAGTTTGTAGAATTCTCTAGAAAGTTTTGGGATAAAAAAAATCTAAGAGTAAGAGACAGTCTGTAGTTACATTAGAGACCTTAAAATACTTCAATAAACGGTCCCCAAGCTGTAAAGCATTTCTGGAAACTGAGAAAATGGAGGTGAAAGGAGTCCCAGAGTGGTTCTGCCTTACCCTCCTCAGACACGGAGGAACCCCGAGAATAGGAAGACGTCTCGATATCAGAAAAGAAGGGATCGGCAGGTGCGGGCCATGGGAACCAACAGTGCTCAGCCCATTCTCTGTGACCTTCAGCCTGTTCTGTCTGCTGACACAGCAGAAAGGCACCTGGAGAGCCCATGGCGTCCGTCCTGCTCAAAGGAGCTTTCTGTGACCCTGGGGCACTGACCTCCTTGCCTTGAAGACGGTGAATTGCTTAATATCAGTAAAGTTCTGAATTGGGGGCCGGTATAATATTCTACAAAGTGAAATATCAGCTGATAAAGACCCACAGGAAAGTTCTCTCTAAACATCTTTGCAAAGTGAGCATTTGCCGCAGTCCCCACTATTCTGAGAGCTCACCACCGCCCTACTCGGGGCTTATAAACCACAGACTTAGGCTTACTGAGCTGGAGGCTGGAAAGCTCAGGGCACTGGCAGATTTAATGTGATCTTCTTTCTTAGTTCCCAGGCCACAAAAGAGATAGGCAGCTATCTGGAACACGCTAATCCCATTCAAGAGGGCTCCATCTTCTTGATTTAATCATGTCCCAAAGTCACTTTGGGTTGGTGCTGTGTTTTAGCACATGATTTTTAGAGGGACTCATTCAGGCTATAGCACCTGCATGTCTACAGGACTGAGTTCTGGCTCTCTCCTTGTTTTTGCTTTTGAAGTGGGAGGAAGCAAATGTGACCAGAAGCCAAGCCACATCTACACCTTGAAAGGGAGACCCTCACAGTTTTCCAACTTCTCCGCCCCTCTCCACTCTTTCTTGCTGTTGTCTCTCCAGGAAAAAAAAATATTGATGTCTGGTATATTGTTTGAACTGTTTTTCAAATTCCAATTGAGTAAAAATAGTATATCATAACCTCCTACCAAGTGCTTTGAGATATAAACGGCATCACACAAATCCATTTTTCTGGCAGCTATTATACCCACTTAGCAGAAGACCAAGGCACAGAGGAGAAGACCAAGGCACAGAGGAGAAGACCAAGGCACAGAGGAGAAGACCAAGGCACAGAGGAGAAGACCAAGGCACAGAGGTCAGGTGTCTTTCCCAGGGTCTTGGAGTAGCAGAAGGTGCCGACTTGTGTCCGGCCTTCCTGCTCCCTCAGCAATACTGTGAAACCTTAACTGATTCATCAACGAACTTCATGAGGAAAGCGCCTTGGCCAGCTTCACAAGTGCTCAGAAGGTTCTCAAACAATGAACGCGGCTAGTCGGAGCAGCTATTACCCGTGAACTTTGCCGTTGAGAGCCTGCCCTGATCTGTGACTGGTTTTTCTCTCTAATTAAATGGGAGAAGAGTGTGTGTGTGTGGGGGGGAGAGTTTCCTTGGCTCTGTCTAGCCCCTTCCCCTTCAGTCAGCCTCGGAGCCCACTCCTGGGAACCGAGGTGAGAGGGGATGTCACCCTGGCAGCCTATCACTCAAGCAGAGGCAGCCAATGACTTCACTGAAGAAGGGCGCAGATGCAAACGAGGTACCCAGACCTTTCCCATGTGATTTGCTCATGGCTGAGGACAAGGCTCTCTGAACTCCGGAGTTCGTTGGCTTTTTTAAGTCCCAGGCTTGGCACAAAGATTTACGACCCAAGTGTGACCACACTCGCCATCCATCACGATTAGTTACAATAAAATCTCTCTTCGTGTTTTTAAAAGCCCTTCGCGTTACATTCCATTATGCAGTTAACATCTCGCAGATGGTCAGGCCATTGTTCACCCGGGGAACCATTTTTTGATGTCTGAAAACCAAAGCAGGCAATCAGCACTTGACCTTCCCTGAGGCCCTGGAGACCCGAGCCTGGAGCAGAAGAGAGAGAACAAAGAAGGGGCGGGGTGGGGGGGACGGGACCCTGATTTGTCCACAAGAACTTGGCGGTTGGGCTAAAAAGCTGTGGACAGAGAGGATGGGCTCAGGTGATCAGCCTCTTCCTCAAGGGAAGCTAACCCAGATGCTCTCCTGTACCTAGCATACCTGGCCTGTCTCCTGTAAGCATCTGAATTAACTGCACATGAATGCAAGCCTGAGACATGGCGTTCCCAGGGAGTCCTGTTCCCAGCCTTCACGCAGCATCTGATCCACGGTCCTGCTGGGAAAAGGTGAAAGGACAATTATGGACAGGACCAGGCCGGTGAGCCACTCCTCCCACTGCCCACCCAAACCTGGGCTCCACTAGCTGGGTATGGGGACTGACATGGTGGGCTAGGCTCCGCATCCTGCTAAGTTTGGGGTTCGTTGTTTGTGGGGGGCATTCTGTGTGCCCCCCGCCACGGGCAAAGTATGGAGCATTGCCCCTTGACACTTGGCCATGTGATTTTTTTTTTTTAGCCAAAGGCATGTGGCAAGATGCCATGCTTTATGTACCCTCCCAGGATTCTGCTGGGTTTCACTTTGCATTTGATACTTGGGAGAGAGGTTGCTCCCTTGGGGCAGGTCCTGAAACTGAAGACTCCCAAGCAAGTCACAGTGACCCACAGCTGGCGTTGGTGGAAGTGAGCCATTGGTAAACTTCGCTGTAAGCTGTATCTAACTGTGCCTAGTAAGGTCTGAAGAGTTGAGTCAAGAAGAGGGCTGACTAGGTCTTCCCTGACCGATGCTTCTATGCTCTGGACCTTCTCCATGGATAGTATCTTGGTTCCCATGGGGCTCTGTCCCTGTTGCAGTCTCCAGCTGACAATTGTACCCTTGTAGCAGTGGCTATCTGACTGTGTCCTGCTGGTCTTCACCCACAGCTGGACTGTGTGTCCACTGTGAAAACAGATTGCTGCAGTTGGCTCCCCAAAACATTGTGTACCCTAATAAACTTATCTGGGGTCAGAGAACAGAACAGCCACTAGATACTTAGGCTAGAAAATGGTGGCACTCATGCCTTTAATCCTAGCATTCCAGAGGCAGAAATTCATCTGTTCAAGGATACAGCCAGGCATGATGACACACGCCTTTAATCCCAGAAAGCAAGCCTTTAATCCCAGGGAGTGCTGGTAGAAAGCAGAAAGGTATATAAGGCATGAGGACCAGAAACTAGAAGCATTTGGCTGGTTAAGCTTTTAGGCTTCTAGCAGCAGTTCAGCTGAGAGCCATTGGGATGAGGACACAGAAGCTTCCAGTCTGAGGAAACAGAATCAGCTGAGGAATTGGCGAGGTGAGGTGGCTGTGGCTTGTTCTGCTTCTCTGATCTTCTAGCATTCACCCCAATAACTGGTCCCAGGTTTGATTTTATTAATAAGACCTTCTAAGATTCCTGCTACAGTCCCCCAAAGATTCTTATTGAAAGCTGGGTCCCCAGGGCTATGTTGACCCCAGGAGTAGCCTTGGGAAGAACAACTGGATTATGGAGGCTAAAAGCTGTTCATGGATACATCCATCGGAGTTCTAGACTGAGTGGACCATTGAGAGGCACTGAGTACTCTGGGAGGTGGGGCCTGCTGGGAGGAAGTGGTACTCCAGGTGTTCTTTTGAAGACAGACCTTGTTCCCACCATCATCCCACCAGGAGCTGAGCAGCTTTGCTCCAGCACAGGACCAGGAACAGTGGAGCTGGGCAGCATGGGCTGAAATTGTGAGTCAAGATAAACCCTCATCCTTCAAAGTGGCTTGCGTCAGCTCTTCTGCCATAGCAACAGACCGCTGACTAGCACCGATGAAGACACTCCACGCTCACGCTGCCTCTAAGCCGTCTCACAGTTTCTGCCAGAAACCCAAACACCAGCCCTGGGTGACCAGCTCTTCATATCGCTTCTCTGTGCCTCCCTTTTCTCTCTGCCACGTTATGCCCACCTGCCACCTAGGCCCTCACTCTCCTCCTCTGTCTTGTGCCAGAGTTACACCTAGAATGTTCTCCCACAGATCTGACCTGCCCCAGAAGCAGTACAAAGGTTGCTTCCTCAGAGAGGCCTTCACGGTCCACCTACCTTCCCGCCACCCTCCATTTCAGGGCATGGGGGCTCTGGCCACCATGGATGATTATCTTCTCTGTTAGGTTACTTCCTGTCTGTGCCCTCCTCACAAAATGAGTGACAGCTGCTTTCCTTTCATGTGTCCCCAGGGCCTGGTACAGGAGTGCTTGATAGACATTTGTCAAAAAAAAAAAAAAAACTGCCTTTATACACGAATGGATTTGAGTCAACCTTCTTACTTTACGGTTGAAGGGACTGATTCCCAAGGAGTTTGTGCCTGGCCAGGTCCTGAAGGTAGCTAGTGGCTAAGCCTGGAGGGGAACTTGGGTCTGCTGACCCCATTCCAGTGCTTTCCTTGACTGCAGCACACCTCTTTTATTCCACCTCCAGATAGTCTGACTCCCTTTCTTCCTTGTGCCTCTGTTTAACATCCAATAATATCAGAAGCTCCTTCCCGATGTCCACTACACAGCCCCTCGATACAGCTTATGACCCCTTTAACTCAACCTTCGGCCTATGAAGTTCCGGCCGTGTTTCCATTCCCTGCTTATAAAAGGATGATAATGACAACAGCCAGCATTGAAAGGGGATGGAGAGGTAGCTCAGTGGTTAGGTCTTGCAGAAGCCCAGCATTTGTTCCCCAGTCCCCTTGTTTGGATGGCTCACAACGGCCTTCAACTCCAGCTCCAGGGGTTCTGAGGCTCTCTTCTGGCCTCTGTGGGCACTCTCACACATCAACCATGTGCACATTCTCTCTTACACACACACACACACACACACACACACGCACACGCACACGCACACGCACACGCACACGCACACGCACACGCACACGCACACCCCTTAAAAACAGAAGCGCCAGCAATCACTGAGTACTTGCATGTCTGACTCTATTAATCTCCCTGGCCACACAGCAGGCAGGCGCTGTCACCTCCTTCATCTTTTATAGAACAACTGAAGGCCCAGAGTGGTTGGCTAAGTCGTTACCCATGTCACCATCACCAAAATACCTGACTGAAGCAACTGAGGGGTGGAAGGGCCTAGTTTGGTTCCTGGTTTCTGGTATTTCAGTCCACCATGGTGGGAGATCCGATCAGTTCACGCTGGCAGAAGAGAACCTTCGAAGGCCTGTCCCTGGGCCCTATCTCCTGAAGGCTCCACGGCCTCCTCAGGGAGCACTTCCGTCGGGTAAACAAGAGCTCAGAACACGAGCCTGTGTGGGCATTTCAGATTCAAGCACCACAGTGACTCGCTTACCCGAGGCTGCAGAGTGCTTGTTGGCGGTGGTGGTACAGCTGGGAAATGGGGCCAGGCAGCGTGGCTCTGGACCCTGGACACCTTCTGTGTGGTCCTAACCCAGTCAGTAGTCTGGTGGAGTTCCCCCAATAGCACATGCTTATTCAACCAGAAATAGCACCATCAGCCAGTGTCTCGCAAGGAAACAGCTACATTAACAAAACCAAACAGTATCAGTCTCTCATTTTAACAAGGTTCCTATGGAGTCAGGGAGAGAAGCACCATCTCATTTAACAGACGAGGAAACAGACTTTGGAGAATGAAGTCCATTGCAGAACCCCTCGGGAAGAGGATGTGGCGGTTTAGACAGTTCGATTTAAAGACACTCGTCCAGATATTTGAGATCTCTGGATATGATGCAAACTAGTAGTTATAAACACATACGATGGCCATGCACTGTCTGGCACCTAGTAGGCCATCAGATGACAGCTACCACTGCAAGGTGGCTCCACCACTGGGCACAATGGTTCTCTGGACATAGCTGCTGGGTCCAGCTATTAAGCAGATGTGAATTTCAGGGACTCCTGAGGAAAGTATCGATCCGCTAACGACCTGCCTAAATCACTTGAAAGCCGTCTGCAAACAAAACGCCCTTGAGAAATCATCAGTTGTCACTGCTCCTTCACCTCGGTGGCCAGCGGTGTCAGACAGCAAACTTCATTCCCTAATGTGCATCCCCCCACCCTCCACTTCCTCAGCCTCTCAGCGTGCTGGTTAACAGCTCGGGGACAGGATGGTAGCCTTCCCAGGCCTTCCACCGCCCAGCTAAAAAGGAATGGAGCTCTGTGCTGACCCCCAAGAGCTCCAAACCCGATTCATTTTCTCTAGGTCCTTATAAATGAGGAGGAGGCAGAGTGTCTCCCTGCTCACTTTTCAGTCGTGTGATCCATCTTGGAGATGTGGTGGTGCAGCTGGGAGTGTGGCTGACCATTTCAGCACTGAGCTCTCCATCCTTCATCTCCATCCCTCCCTGTCCCTCTCCTTTCCTCGACGATGGCGCAGCCACCAGCTAAATCCCAGGACCCCCGACTAGAAGGCTTTGCCTGGAAAATACTAGAGTTCTCCTCCTCATCTTTATCCATGGCAAATCCATTTCAGCACTGGCTATGCCCAGCCTGCAGGCTGGAAGCTGGTGGGGAGAAAGGATTGCCCAAACAGGTCAAATGATCCCCTGAAGTGACCAGGAAGGCAAAGTCTAATGTTGGGGGAAACTTACCAAGGAACAGACTTTCTCAGGAGTCCAAAGCCAAATCTTTGTTTTTCTGGCAGGTAAGACTTAGTACAGAGAAGGGCACACTATGCGTGCAGATTCCAAGACAGTCCTGGAAGCTGGTTCAGAACTGGAGGCAGGACCTGCCATAGACCAGAGCCGGGTGACAGGAAATTGCTGGTAGCTTGAAGGGTAGAGACAGGTGTAGATACTGAAGCAGGGGCCCAGCCTCCGAGTGAGCATGTGTCCTGGCTTCAGAGGCCCGGGAGGAACCATGGACTTCCAGCCACTGTAAGGCAGGGGCTCGGGGACAAAAGCCATTCTGACTTCTCCAAAGGCTCAGGCTCTGCCGGTCCCCACGATCTAAGGGGTGACACGCTGCCCCAGAGTCTGGAGCTCCATTTGTATTTCACTCTCTGGAGGACCTCGAGCCAGTCAGAGGGCTTTTGAGGATCTCAGTTTCCTTCCTCAAAAGCGGAGCTATTGGACAGTTGATGTTCTAGATCTAGCTCTGAATTCCAGTTTCTGTTCCAAGGTTCCAGAGGAAATGTCCTCTGAGATGGCAGCTTGGTGGCACCTTTCCATTCCTCTGGTCCCCTGTGCTGAGGCATTCTCTGATGACAAAGTATGGTGTGCTTCCCACCGCATCTCCTCTTCCTGCTCAGCCTTGAGTTCAGAGTTAAATTTTCACAGGCCTTGGATTTCCTGGGCAGTGCTCAATGAACTCCTGCAGGAAGGTCCTGGCAGGCACTCTGATGTCCCTGGCTGCCATCTCCAGGCAGCTATGTGGGAGACAACCCATGCTACAAGCTGAGGGTGGAAGGACCCCCAGGGAACCAGGGTACAACATTTCTGAACTCTTGGCAGCTCCATGAGTGGCCTTTGGGACAAAGTCTACTTTGGGAGGTGCCACTTGGTATTCATCCTAAAGTGAGTTACCGCCCCCCCCCCCCCCCCCGCCACCACCACTCCCCCCATCCCCAGCACACACACTGGGAAATGGAGTCATCCAGAATTCCAAGCTACACACCAGACATTTGGGAAAGTTGGCCCATGGCTGGCCTCTGGGGACCAGGGCTCATCTGTGCAGACATTGTTACATTGGCAGCTGACTCTTAGAAAATTTGCCCTCATAAAGAGTCAACAGTGAGGCCTTTGGGCTGGGGACAAGGATAGAGGGGCCTTCAGGAGGTGCCCTCCTCTCTGACAAGATCGTCTAGTTTCTGCTGCAGCCAAGTGGGAGGAGGAGGAACAGGCAGAGGATGGAGGGAACCCGAGTTCCATATGTGCCCTGAGCCACCAGTACACAGGTGGTATGGGAGAGCTATATCAGATTCATTCATCAGGGCTGTTGTCCTTCCGGCAGGGCAGGGACCTAAAAGAAAAAGTGCCTCTCCGTGAGAGGAGACATAACCCCCTAAAGCTAGGGAGGTGTCCAGGAGCAAAGTGAGAAGCAGGAGAAGGGAAGAGGTGAGGGCAGCAGTCTTACTTTGTCTGTGCTGACACACAGCACTGCTGTGGAAGACAGTCACGCTGCCCAACCCCTCAGACCCACAGCTCCAGCACAGCCGCCTCCTAGGAAGGTCCTGTTGTAGAATATTATTTTAAGATGTGTTACATTTGTTTATGCTCTGGAACATTTGTTTCATGATGTAAAGATGTGCTGCATTCTTTTATGTTGCTTTTGTTTAACTCTGTGAAGCTGTGTTACTTTGCCTGTCTAAAACACCTGATTGGTCTAATAAAGAGCTGAACAGCCAATAGCAAGGCAGGGGAAAGGATAGGCAGGGCTGGTAGGCAGAGAGAATAAATAGATGGAGAAATCTGGAAGGAGAAGAAGAAAGATCAAGGAGCGAGAAAAGAAGGGGCCAGCCACCCAGCCACACAGCCAGCCATGGAGTGAGAGTGAAAGTCAGATATACAGAAGTAAGAAAAGGAAACAGCCCAGAGGCAAAAGGTAGACAGGATAATTTAAAGTTAAGAAAAGCTGGCTAGAAATAAGCCAAGCTAAGGACAGGCATTTATAATTAAGAATAAGCCTCCATGTGTGATTTATTTGAGATCTGGGTGGTGGGCCCCCCAAAAGAGCCAAAAGAGTAAAAAACAACCAGCAACAAGATCCAGCAGAGTTATAGAGCTGGGTGCTACACTTCCTGCAACCCCCTTTTCATCAGCCACAGATCTGCATCCTGAACTCCTAATGAGGACAGGAAACAGCTGCTCCCTCATCCATGTCCCCAGGGCACTGCTGAAGAGCTGTGGTGCCTCTGGTTGTCACTCAGTGCTAACAGATGCCTTCTCTGAAGATGGAGGTGGTGTGGCCAGGGCACAGCTGGGCAGATGTCCTCCACCTTACCCCTGCAGTGCCACGTGTACCGCCGGATGTTAGGGCCAATGTCAGTCCTACTGAAGGCCTATTTCCAGAAACACTGTTTGAGGCTTTATGGGTTCTCTAGGAGCTGTGTAATTGTACCATTTAAATAGGAGTGCCCACTTCAAACACAGCAACCAGACGACAATGTTAGAGGCAGGCACCCACGACTTGGAACGTAGCTGAGGGTGAGGCGTCCTTTTGTGAGATGTTACTGTGCTCGGTTTTAGGGGCGCTTCCCTCAAACACTTTCCGTACTGAACTCTGGTCTTGTGTCATTGGTGATGTAGTCCTTTGTGAGAACTCCTCCCTATGCATAACTGCAAGTGCTCCTGGGAGGTCTTGCTCTTGCTAGTATAAATGAATGCTTTGGCTGGAAGAGGGGGTCATAAGGAGGGGCTTCGGGAAAGGGTCAGGTGGTCCATGAAGGACCTGGAGAAGAGACCAAATCCTCTGTGCCACAATGTAACAACTCTGCCTCTTTTTTTTTTTTTTTCCCCTTTGGATTTTTCAGACAGGGTTTCTCTGTGCAGCTTTGGAGCCTGTCCTGGAACTCACTCTGTAGACCTGGTTGGCCTCGAACTCACAGAGATCCACCTGCCTCTGCCTACCAAGTGCCGGGATCAAAGGTGTGCACCACCACCGCCTGGCCAACTCTACCTCTTTTATATTAGAGTGAAAGTGAATTAGCCAGTGGGGACGATGGGGAACTGTGGGGACAGTGACAACTATGGCTTCATATGCACTTGGTAAAGAAAAGACCACCAACCAACCAACCAACCAACCAACCAACCAACCAACCATCCAACCAAAAACCAAACCAAACAGCTGAGGAGAAACTGGGGCCAAACGCTGTTTGCCTTCACAGCAGCAGCAGCAGCAGCAGCAGCAGCAGCAGCAACAGCAGCAACAGCAACAGCAGCAACAGCAGCATGGGTGGTATTTAAAGCAGCCAGACAAATGTAACAAGCTGACAGACAAGTGCTGGGTGCATGCAGATATGTCAGAACCCTGTGTGCCTCAGTGGGAACAGCATTCTGCTGGACCCCAGCAAACACAGGATGGCCATGTGACCTAGCAAGTCTAAGTCCAGCTATACACACAAAAGAACTGGAAGCAGAGACTCCAGTGTTTGCCCACCCGGGCTTTAGAGCGCTGTTCTTGACAGTAGCCCAGAAGTTACCAAGTGTTCATCAACAGGTAGCAGAATGAACAAAGCGTAACACGTACACACCATAGAATACCAGCCAGCCTCTAAAAGGAGTGACGTCTGATACATGCTACTCGGGTGCATCTGAAGACACAACGCTAAGTGAACTGTGTCAAAGACAAAGGGACAAATTCTGAATGAGTCACCTCAAACTCTTAGAGACAAAGGGCAGAGCCATGGTCTCCAGGGGCTGGGTGGGGACGGCAGCGAGGAAGTCATTGTTTTATGAGTACAAAGTTTCTGCCTTACTAAGGACATAGAAAGTTCTGGAGATATACAGTGGTAATAGTTGCACAGCTTTTGTGGATGTGTTTAATTCCACTGACTCTGTATACTTTAAAAAAAAGGAAATGGGGGGATCCTGGAGAGCGCTCAGCAGGCAAAGGTGTTTGTGCCAAGCCTGAGGACCAGTCCACACCCTGGAACCCATACCGTGGAAGAAGGGAAGAGACTTCCACAAGCTGTCCTCTGACACCCACACCTGTGCCGTGGCATGTCCTCCCCCACCCCCTACCAAACAAACATAGATAAACTTAAAAGTTTTAAAGGAAAGAAGATATTTTGTAGTTGAAAACCTGGCTTCCTTTCTTCTTCCTCTAGGAATTCGGTTATAGCCAGGGCTCAGGTTAGAACAGAGTGCAGGCACGTTGGGATGGGCTAGCCTGTGCTGCAGAATAAGCATCCACAGAATTTCTGACTCCAGCTTCGTGTTTACCAGGGTGTGTTTGCAGGGCTCCTCTGACTCCTTCAGGAACTCCTGTGGACAGGACAGCATTTGTCAGAGGGACACACAGTTCCTGAGGTCTCGCACCAGCACCCCAACCCTTTGGTCTGGAGAAGACACACAGCATCTGTAAGCTCAAGAATCCTCGGCCCAGCTCACACACATGCCTGCCTTGTGCTCGGAAGACAGAGAGCTGTAAGTCCTGGGGGACACCAGCCTTGATTCCTGCAGGCTCTCGTCACTTCTTGTCCCCTAAGAAACACTCCAGCCACCTCACGTGATGGCTGAGACAAGCAAACTCTAGGGATCCACCCGTAACCCAGGACAGATGAATGTCCTGAAGCCAGCAAGTCTCTTGCCTGCCCCACTGAGAGAGGGAACTTTCTAGCAGCTTTGTCTCTGGCATCTTAAGCAAATGCTGGTTAGGACAACATATTTACAGCTCCCAAGGACGATGCTTGCTGGGTCTGGCCAGTGTGTCCAGCAGCCTCGTTTTATATATACATATAATATATAATAGTGTGTATATATATATAAAATTTTATATATAAAATTTCCCTCCTATTTATCCCCTCATGCCTTGTGTTTCCTTCTCTCAGCTCCTTCCACTGCTTCCCCCAGGAGCCTCATTTGTTTTAAGAATGCTCCTGAGCATTCTCCACTCACCCAGCAAGCACATACTGAATGTTTCCTGTGCGCCACATGATGATCTAGATGGCAGAGACAGCAAACAGGACAGACAGAAGTCGCTGCCTAAGCAGAACTGTCACAGTTAGCGACATGTGCAGAAGTGCTAGAGTGGAGTGGAGAGTGGGACTCCTCAGACGATGGGTCTGCGTGACAGACTCCACCCCCTCTGCACACTGCCAGCCTGCTCTGGCCGAAGCTTCATGGCACCCTGCTGCCTGTCCGCAGACATCATTCTCGATCGCTGTTCTCAAATGCTCATCCATGCTCTCTGAGAAAATGCAGGTGTTCAGTGCAAACCCTCAACGCCCTTAAAAATTAGGTTTTGCATGTTTAAAAGATGGAGTCTTGGGCCAGAGACTTGGTCCAGCAGTTGAGAGCACTGGCTACTCTTCCAGAGGACCTGGGTTCAATACCCAGCACCCAGATGGCAGCTCACAACTGTCTATAACTTCAGTTCCAGGGGGATCCAACATTCTCACACAGACACACATGCAGGCAAAACACCAATGCACATAAATATAAAAAAGAAACAAATAATTAAAAAAAAGAAAACTTGTTAAAAAGAAAGATGGATTCTTAAGTGGATTTGAGAGGCTTGGTTTGCCTTTGACTGATGTTCAGACAACGGGGTTAGTGGTGGGTGTAGAACTGACTCCTCACCTCATTCCTAAAAGAGTCTGATAAATTAGAGACTTGAAGGTAAAACATATAAAACAAAAAAACATCAGAAGAAAACAAGGAGTTTTTTTTCTCCACACAAAAAACAATTTATATGGAGAGCTTATAAGATAGAAATGAGAAGCAATAATAGAAATATTAAGAAATCTGACATTGAAAATCACATGCTTGTACATAATAAGGGATATCATGTTTATGATAAAAATAATGCAAGCAGCCTTGGAAGACAATATTTAACAAACAGAGGACTGATGTGCAAATA